CCCCCCCCATTTCACATCAGAAGCCCCTACCTTCCCTTTACAAGCCCCCTTCACATCAAGTTTCCTCCTTTAACTAAACTTTTAAGGCATCCCTGACAAAGTACCTCTGGATGCCACGGCACCCTGGTTAGGAAAGGCTGTTCTAGTGGACGATTACTACTAATTTGTTGAGTTGCTAAAAAAATTGCTTGCATTGCTTTGGTCTTACATTGTCGCAGTGCCGAGTATGGCCAGCAGAGGGCGGAATTTTAGAATCAATATGACATCATATAGTAAATCTGTCTCACTGCTTCTGTTTTGCAGAGCCATGACGTGTGACGGAATCGATGGTCTCCCCTCCTTGCCTCCTACCTTAACGTGCAATTAAAGTGGAACTCTGAACAAAATGACATATTGTATATGATGCAGGCTGTCTATCGGTTTCTGTAACCCCCCCCATAGTCTGCATATCTGTTGATCCTGCCAGTAGATCTGTTGTTACTTTTTAATTTCCTTTTCTTGTATCTATGAAACATTCACAAAATAGTTCTGAGAATGCCTATAGGGGAAATGGGGGTTCATCTACTCATTCAGCCCATGGATTCCATTTTTGGGGGGTGTCGATTCAAAAACTAACATTGGTACACAGGTACCTTGTGGTGTCTGAACTTCAGCACTGTCTGTTAGAATGGAAACATTTTTAGTTCAGGCTGACTTATTGCTTTATGTCCGCCCCCTTCACTAACTAGCTGAATGCACCCAGTACTAGTCTAACCGAACATTCTTCACCAGCTAGCATGCTGCACCATTGAGGGTCCTTCTACTGCTTTAAAACCTGTATACACTGCCAACCAGCAAGGTGCACCTATTGAGTCCCTGTTACTGGTCTAACACCCACATCCTTCGTCAGCGAAGAGAGTGCACCTATGTAAGGTGCCTTTGTACCAGTCTATCACCTGCATTCCTCACCAACAAGCAGAATGCACCCTATGGAGAGTGTCAGAGTGCACTCACTGAGTCCCTTATTCTGCTCTGCAACCTATATCCTTTGCAAACTAGCAAGGTACACCCATTGTGTCCCCTTTTCAGGACAGACACCCATCTCCTTCACCAACATGCACGGAGCACCCATTGGGTTCCCTCTACTCTCCTGAAACTCATCTCCTTCACCAACATGCACGGAGCACCCATTGGGTTCCCTCTACTCTCTTGACACCCATCTCCTTCACCAACATGCACGGAGCACCCATTGGGTTCCCTCTACTCTCCTGAAACTCATCTCCTTCACCAACTAGCAAGGTGCAACCATCGTGCCCCATTTATTAGTGTACAATTGGAATAGGTCACCAGCACTCCAAATAGTTAAAATGAATAAGTCCTTTTTATTGGACAATGGTGTCACAAAAATCAAAGACATTTATTAGTGTGACACTTTTATCCTTTACCAACTACCAAGGGGAACCCACTGGGTCTGCACTATTGGCCTGACACACATATGCCTTAGCAACTAGCAGAGTGCACCAGTTGGGTCTCCCCTTCTGGCCTAACACCCATATCGTTCACCAACTGAATTGCCCTTTCTGTCCTAACACCCATTTCTTTCACAAATTAGCTAGGTGAACCCACCTGTGATACCCTGACACCCCTATCTTTTATCAAATAGCAGAGCACACCAATGGGGTCCTCTCTACAGACATGAAACCCATACCCTCACCAACTATCAAGGCCGCTCCACTAGGACCCCTCTACTGTTCTGACATCCGTATCATTCACCAGCTAGCAGGGTGCATTCCTTGGGTCCCCTGTACTGCCATGATACCCATATCCCTGCACCCATTGGGTCCCCTGTACTGCCATGATACCCATATCCCTGCACCCATTGGGTCCCCTGTACTGCCCTGACACCCATATCCCTGCACTCATGGGGTCCCCTATATTATCCTGACACCCATTGAGTCCCCTATAAAAACCTGACACCCATTGGGTCCCCTACATTGGGTCCCCTGTACTGCCATGATACCCATATCCCTGCACCCATTGGGTCCCCTGTACTGCCCTGACACCCATATCCCTGCACTCATGGGGTCCCCTATATTATCCTGACACCCATTGAGTCCCCTATAAAAACCTGACACCCATTGGGTCCCCTGTAATGCCCTGACACCCATATCCCTGCACCCATCAGGTCCCCTGTACTGCCCTGACACCCATATCCCTGCACCCATTGGGTCCCCTGTACTGCCCTGACACCCATATCCCTGCACCCAATGGGTCCCCTGTACTGCCCTGACACCCATATCCCTGCACCCATTGGGTCCCCTGTACTGCCCTGATACCCATATCCCTGCACCCATTGGGTCCCCTGTACTGCCCTGACACCCATATCCCTGCAGCCATTGTGTCCCCTGTGCTAACCTGACACCCACATAGCTGCATCTATTGGGTCACCAGCACTTTACAGCAGGTGTATGGGGATCACTTTGAGGGGAACACATAGACATTGCCGGTGTTCAGCTCCCCCCTTCCGAGGCGAGAAGTGCGTCACGTGATCACGGGCCCGGTGTGTGTCAGCGTCTCGGTGGGTGCGCGCGCGGCTGTGTGTATTGTTTGACGAGAGTGAGGCACGTGACTTGGGGGAGGGCGGGGATTGGCCGGCTCCTGGCAGCGGTGTGATCCTCCGTCTTCTCTCAGCATCCTCCGGCAGACAGCGGGCCCCTGGATACAGCGCACCCCTGGGGCCCCCGGAGCCCTCCTGAACACCACCCAGGGATCCCCTTCCTTCCCCCCACTCCAGTGTGGAGCTCGGCTGCCCTCCCCTCTCCAGCCTCCTGGGAGATTGAGGAATGAGAGAGTGCCACCATGATGGAAGGTAGGGTGTCTTCTCTCTGCACCATGCCATGATGTCCTGCCACGATGTCCTGCCACCCCCACCTTCCTCTACTCACCACTGCACCCCCTTCATTCATTCCACATAGGCCTGACCCGTGGCCCTGGAGGGGCCCTAATTATGACATGACCTATTCATCTACAAATTACAAGGTGTCAGCCCAGCCCCCATGGTCCTAGGGGGCCCCTGATTATAATGCAGATTGCAAGGTGTCAGCCCAGCCCCCATAGTCCTAGGGGGCCCCTGATTATAATCCATTACCTGATTACAAGGTTTCAGCCCTGCCCCCATAGCCCTAGGGGGCCCCTGATTATAATGTAGATTACAAGGTGTCAGTCCTGTCCCCATAGCCCTAGGGGGCCCCTGATTATGATCCACATTGCAAGGTGTCAGCCCTGCCCCATTAGTCTTAGGGGTCCCCTGATTATAATACTAATTACAATGTGTCAGCCCAGCCCCCATAGTGCTAGGTGGCCCCTGATTATATTATGACCCATCCATCAACAACTTACTAGGTATCTTCCCTGCCTTCATAGTCTAGGGGAGATCTAATAACAGTATGACCGATCCATAACTAAATAGGAAGGCGTTGGCCCAGCTCCCATCATCCTAGGGGCCCCCAGGTTGAGTATAATAATGCAATCCACCTACCTCCAAACTACAAGGTGTCAGACCAGCCCCCATAGTCCTAGAGGGCCCCCAGCACAGTGGAGGTCTCTCTCTATGACCTATCCTAATGCAAAGTTATTAACCCCCATCCAGGTCCCCATAGTCCTAGATGGAATCATCCTTTAAACAGAAGGGTGTCAACCCAGCCCCATAGTCCCAGAGAGTCCCCAGCTTGGTTATAGGGGGGCCATGGGTGTGCCAGTGCAATATTATAATACCTGACCAAAGGGCTCATCCTTCTCCAAATAGGAAGCTTTTAACCCTGCCCCATAGTCCAAGAGGGCCCCCAGCCTCATATATATAGTGGGCCCTAGGAGTGCAAAACTGTAATACATGACAATATGATACGTCCTTCTTGTAATACTGAGACATTAACCCCATGTATGCCTTCATAGTCCTAGAGGGCTCCCAGCCTTCTGGAGGTCTCCTTATAGATAGGTTTATGGGAGTCCAGAATTTGGTATGCCTGACCCGTCTGTCTCCAGACAGCAAGGTGTCAGCCCTGCCTCATAGAGCTAGAAGGCACCCAGCTAATGGAGGACTCCTTATATATATATATATGGGGGGCCTAGGGATGTCAAATACATGACAATTATTTCTTGAGGTCCATCTTACTTATGGGTGGGCCAGCTTGATCCTTCTGCTAACATTGAGATGTTAATCCCCATCCAGGTCAGCCAGTTGCTCTAGTCCAAGGGGGTACCCACATTCTGCTGGTCTTCACCATTACGAGAGCTTCCCCAACCACCCTAAAGTGTCTTACACGTGGGGGCTGCTAAGTGTGCAAAACGTTGGAGATCACCTAGCCTTCTAGAGGACTATGTACATTATAACCCCCATTCCTGTGTCCACCCCTAAACATTTCATCCAGTTCCCTAGTCCTCATCCTCCAGATCACCTAAAGGTCTCCATTCAAGGTTGCGCAAAAGCAAAAATGCTCTAAGGCCCACCGTGTGACCTGTATCACATTATGTCCTCGCCATCCTAGAAGGCACCATCAGCCATTTAAGGGTCTCCGTATTGTCCGAAGTCTATAGGGTGCACAGTATAGTCTTGCACTCGGACATATCCCCCCTCACATCCTATGTAGGATACCCCCTGCCCCATAGTCCCGCACTCGGATATATCCCCCCTCCCATCCATTGTAGGATACCCCTGCCCCATAGTCCCGCACTCGGATATATCCCCCTCCCTTCCTATGTAGGATACCCCTGCCCCATAGTCCCGCACTCGGATATATCCCCCCCTCCCATCCTATGTAGGATACCCCTGCCCCATAGTCCTGCACTCGGATATATCCCCCCTCCCATCCTATGTAGGATACCCCTGCCCCATAGTCCTGCACTCGGATATATCCCCCCTCCCATCCTATGTAGGATACCCCTGCCCCATAGTCCCGCACTCGGATATATCCTCCCTCCCTTCCTAGGTAGGATACCCCATAGTCCCGCACTTGGATATATCCCCCCTCCCTTCCTATGTAGGATACCTCTGCCCCATAGACATCTACAGCCATGCAGGTCTCTTTACTATAAGTATTCACTATATTGGATCCATTCAGATGGGTCGTGGTGGGTGCCTGTATGTACCACAGCTCTATTCATCTCGGTTCTGTGGTTGTGAAAATGCAAGGTTGCAGTGTTATCCCCGCCCCCCATCACTACCACCACCACCAGCACTATTCCCTCTCCTTCATCCCCGTAATGTGTGATCATAGATCCATTTTGCCTTACCACTTTATTATTGAGCATTGCAATGCTGCAGAATGTCACCATCGTCTTGTGCATCAATGACACGGGGAGTTAATGGGGCTGGGTGTGTGTTTTTCTTGAATGACCACCTCCTCCTCCTCCTCACCACCACCACCACCACCTTCCATCCCGAGGTCTATTCCCAGCTAAGAGAAAAAAACCAAAAACCCCTCTCGTCATTGATTGCACGGGATTATATTTTGTCATAATACACGAGTGTACCCTTAGTATGGTAGCGGAAAAGTCTGTGCCGTTAACCCCTTGCCTCCAGGAGCAGATCTCAATGTCATGCTTGCCGTCAAGCCGTCCTCGTTGTATCCCCCCATCCCTCTCCCTGTCGTAGAGACCTCGTTCCGCCTTCTGACACATCAGTATTTATTCATTCCTCCGTTCTGTTGAGCTGTCATGCTGCTGCTGTTGGTTTTACATTTTATAACCGGGCTTTGCTGATTTGGACCTAGCGCTGAATGAACAGCGGAGCATTTGGCATGCCCCCTCCACCGAGAACGGTTCTCCATCCTTCGCCATTCAGCCGCAGCTTAATTCACTTTGCTTCTGTGGCCTGGAATCCAGTTTGCATTGGCAAGGCTCGCGGTGAATGAATCATACGTGTCAGCTTGGATAGCCTATGCTGTCCATCATCGGCGTGTGTGCATATGAGTCTGAAACGCAGGCTGGGGTACTCGCAGACGTTCAGATGCAAGCTCTGACATATGGTCGTCGGGTACCTATAGCAGGGGTGGGCAACTCCGGCCCTCCAGCTGGGCTTTAACTACAAAACCCAACATGACTTTGCCTCTGGCAGCCATGCCTATAACTGTCGGTCTTTCAATGATTCTTGGGACTTGTAGTTCCGCAACAGCTGGAGTGCCGAGGTTGCCTACTCCAGAGAGTGGCCAGTATTACATTCCACAGTTCATATTGAGGTAGATTCGCCTACAGAACTACATCTCCCAAGAGCTGTTCCCTACGTACAGTGTTTGGGCAGGTCTTTTGAAAGCCGAGGAAGTTCCACAACAGCTGGAGCGCCGACCTATAGGATTTCCGGGTGTTCGGGAAATGTTTCCTATGCTTCTTTAGAGCATTCCGAAATCTTTTCAGTTGACCTGTATGGGCTTGTTCACGCCACATGCGTTATGCTGTATTTTTCTGCACCCCACTGCACATGCATGGTGTGCTTAGTATGCATAGAAAACAACACCTAGTAATGCATTGTATTGGTTCCTCCTTTCCCTACTCATGATTTCATCACTGGGTCTCTGTGCAATGCTGGTGGGAGTGGCCGGCAGGGTGCTGTACATAGCTTCCTGATAACATTATTGCACCCTGCCTCTGAAGAGCCCTCAGCCCTGATGCAAGCATTGGGCTGGCTCCAGGGTGGAGTTATGCAAATATGAAAATGCCTTGATGAGTAGCTGTCATTATGGGGGAGTGGACATTTCTAGGCAGGTTTAATTTGTGTATTTTGCAGGGGGGGTGTTCCTACCCCCAGAGTTGGAGGTTGAACCTCACTATTTTATTTTTGCCTGGCATATATGGTCTTGTGAAGTTGACTTTTAGTACCTTTGCACCTTGCAATGAAACCGATCAGAACAGAGAACCTGCTCTGTTGGCAGCGCTGTTGGTCTAACACAGGGGACCCAATTACAGAAGGGGAGAACACAGATGACATCATCAGTGTGCTGCTTCTCCTTGATTGTCTCAGCAGGCTGGGGAGCAGGGAAGTGACCCTTCTGTATACAGTGATTGAGAATGTGGTAAGTCTTGTGTACGTGCGCAGGAGTTATATCATCAGTGGCCACCTAATGGCCAATGAGGGTGCCTGGGAACCCGGAAAGTAGGGGAGATGGTGGCGGCACAGGACCGAAAATGCATCGCACAGCGCTGGAGAAGGGCACACTTGTACGGTAAGTGTGCCTTAGTTTGCATGCATGAATTGCTGTGCTTTATGGCAAAACCCCACCCAGCGCACAGCAGTTTACTACTGCTTAAAGCCTTTTGGCCAAACGTGGCCTCTGTAACCCCTAACCAGGTTCATCCGAAACGCGTAATCTGGTGTTTTTATAGCCAGTGCTGGCTTTCCGATGCTAGGAAAAGTTGCACCACGGCCGTGCACATCGCCACACAGTGTTACCAGTATAGGAAGTACGGGTGAAGCGGGTCTAACGCTTTCTTCGAAATGTAGGACTTTTCCCGACTTATAGCCCCAGTGACAGCGGGACAATTAAAGGGATCACAGCAATAAAAGCCTGATGGGGGTCCTAATTCCTCATTATGCAATCAGAACTAACCAACGGTTTGGGCTTTAGATTTACATTATTATTATTACATAGTATTTGTAACATTATGGATGTTTAGACGCCATGTTTATATTCTACCTTTTGGGTATTGAACCCAAGACCTGTAAGACATCTGTTCAGCCCACAGTTAGCGGACGGAGCTTTATAAGGTCATGTTCTATTGTACTAGCCGAGGGTCCATCTGTCTCTTCATTCCTGAGACCCTCCAGAGATATTCTTGTACATTGTGACCTCATTTTTCTAATGGAATCGCGGTGATTCA